GGAGGAACAGGGGGAGCAGGAGGGGTAGGAGGAGGGGAGAAGGGGAAGGAAGGGAAGGAGGAGGAGGAGGAGGAGGAGGGAGGAGGGGGGAGGAGGAGGAGGAGGAGGAGGAGGAGGAGGAGGAGGACGAGGAGGAGGAGGACGAGGAGGATGTTTGGGCCCCTCTTGGGGGCGCTTCGGGGCGGTATCTTGGGCGTCTCCCGAGCCGCCTGGAAAAGTTGGAAGCCTGAAGCGGTAAGAACGCCCAAATCCTCATTGGGAACTGAACTCGATACACCGATGCTTTTTGCGGCCCTGCACTGAAACTTGCACACGAAAGCGGATCCTGGTGTATACAGGATTATGGTGTATACGTTTTCCGTCGTTTCCCCGGAAAAACGGGGAAATTACGCTACCGAGGAACCCCACATACTTATTTTATGTCACGTGTGTTCACAAACCATATCACATCCCGCTTCGCCATCCTGACGAGCCAGACTGACCAGACCAGCCACATCAGCCAGACCAGCCAGACTGACAAGACCAGTCGGATCAGTCGTTCCAGCCATAACCAGCCAAAGTAATGAGACCAGCCAGCCAGGCCAATCAAGCAGAGAAGCCACACGAGCCAGCCAGGCCAACCAACCACACCAACCAGACCAACCAGACCAAACCAACCAGACCAGACCAGACCAACCAGACCACGCCAACCAGACCAACCAGTCGGACCAGCGTCGTCGTACTGAGTATACTCAGCGTCGTCGTCGCACTCGTTGCGCTCGTCGTCGTACTCATCGTATTCGTCGTCGTACTCGTTGTCGCCTCTCCTCGACGGCCGGCACTCTGGATTGGACGCTCGCTTGGCTGCGAATTCCTTGTACCATTCGGCCGCCTTCGCATCCGCTTGGGCGAAAAGGCTGTCCGGGAGAATCGACTCTCGCAGGTCGTGCGACCATGGTCCTCGCGACCAACGGCAGTCCGTCTCCGCCTGCTCCGGGGACAGCTGAATGGGAGGGGTGCCAGTGGAACGAACCGAGGTAGCGAGCAGAACTGCTGGGGACCGCTGAGGGGTGGAGGCCTGCACGGGCGTGGACTTCGCTGGCGTGGCCTGCGCGGGCGTGGCAGTGCCCCCGTTGCCGGCACCGCCGACTCGCCGAACTTTCGCCAACGGCGAGCCATCGCCATCCTCCGCACCCCCAGTCTGATCAACTGGGAACCCGCTGGGCGAAGGGTTCAGCAGGTACGGCATCAAACACTGCCTCCTGCCATCGTCGTTGCCTCCTTGACTCAGCTCGTTGTACCTGATGAGAATAGTATGAGACCACCAGTTGGCGAGTTGTCGATGATAAACAATAAATGCGCTTCGGACCAGAAGATCTCCATGCGCATCCTTGTAGCCGCGCAAGCTTGCCAGATTGACCTCAAGGCCCATCCCACTCAATGCCTCCTTCAGCGCCAACCACGGAGGTGGCAGGGCGGCGATGCCAATTTTCGGCGGCATGAGCGCCGCACACCGCAAAGGATCGCTTGCTGCTTTCAAATACGGAAGCAGGGCGCGTCTGGGTGGAAATCTAGGCGCGCTGAGGCGGCTTGAGCCAATGTGTTAAATATCAAGATGCTCGAGGTTCAAAGACATGTGCCCCATATGTCGATCTCTGGAAACTCCCCACCCCATGCGCCGCCCTCTGGCGCCGAGGAACTGTTACGCCTGGCACGCCCTGGAAGCCTGAAAGAGAGAGCGCCCCCAACTGCTGCCACATCCTGCGAGCGCATCACGGATAGAAACCGCGCTGAGGGACCACCCTCTCCGCACCCCCTGCGATGTCTAGAAAATGCCGCGCCTGCCACGCCCTGCGAGCGTGTCACGGATAGAGGCCGCGCTGAGGGACCACCCTCTGCGCAACCCCATGCGGCGTCCAGAACGTGCCACGCCTGCCACGCTCTGCGAGCGTGTCACGGATAGAGGCCGCGCTGAGGGACCACCCTCTGCGCACCCCTGTGGTGTCGAGAAAGTGTCACTCCTGCCACGATCTGCGAGCGTGTCATGGATGGAGGCCGCGCTGAGGAACCACCCTCTCCGCACCCCCTGTGGTGTCGAGAAAGTGCCGCGCCTGCCACGTTCTGCGAGCGTGTCACGGATAGAGGCCGCGCCGAGGGACCACCCTCTCCGCACCCCCTGTGGTGTCGAGAAAGTGCCGCGCCTGCCACGCTCTGCGAGCGTGTCACGGATAGAGGCCGCGCTGAGGGACCACCCTCGCACCCCCTGTGGTGTCGAGAAAGTGCCACTCCTGCCACGATCTGCGAACGTGTCACGGATAGAGGTCGCGCTGGGGGACCACCCTCTGCGCACCCCCTGTGGTGTCGAGAAAGTGTCACTCTTGCCACGATCTGCGAGCGTGTCACGGATAGAGGCCGCGCTGGGGGGCCACCCTCTGCGCACCCCCTGTGGTGTCGAGAAAGTGTGCCACGATCTGCGAGCGTGTCACGGATAGAGGCCGCGCTGACCACCCCACGAGAAAGTGCCACTCCTGCCACGATCTGCGAGCGTGTCACGGATAGAGGCCGCGCTGAGGGACCACCCTCTGCGCACCCCCTGTGGTGTCGAGAAAGTGCCACTCCTGCCACGATCTGCGAGCGTGTCACGGATAGAGGCCGCGCTGAGGGACCACCCTCTGCGCACCCCCTGTGGTGTCGAGAAAGTGCCACTCCTGCCACGATCTGCGAGCGTGTCACGGATAGAGGCCGCGCTGAGGGACCACCCTCTGCGCACCCCCTGTGGTGTCGAGAAAGTGCCACTCCTGCCACGATCTGCGAGCGTGTCACGGATAGAGGCCGCGCTGAGGGACCACCCTCTGCGCACCCCCTGTGGTGTCGAGAAAGTGCCACTCCTGCCACGATCTGCGAGCGTGTCACGGATAGAGGCCGCGCTGAGGGACCACCCTCTGCGCACCCCCTGTGGTGTCGAGAAAGTGCCACTCCTGCCACGATCTGCGAGCGTGTCACGGATAGAGGCCGCGCTGAGGGACCACCCTCTGCGCACCCCCTGTGGTGTCGAGAAAGTGCCACTCCTGCCACGATCTGCGAGCGTGTCACGGATAGAGGCCGCGCTGAGGGACCACCCTCTGCGCACCCCCTGTGGTGTCGAGAAAGTGCCACTCCTGCCACGATCTGCGAGCGTGTCACGGATAGAGGCCGCGCTGAGGGACCACCCTCTGCGCACCCCCTGTGGTGTCGAGAAAGTGCCACTCCTGCCACGATCTGCGAGCGTGTCACGGATAGAGGCCGCGCTGAGGGACCACCCTCTGCGCACCCCCTGTGGTGTCGAGAAAGTGCCACTCCTGCCACGATCTGCGAGCGTGTCACGGATAGAGGCCGCGCTGGGGACCACCCTCTGCGCACCCCTGTGGTGTCGAGAAAGTGCCACTCCTGCCACGATCTGCGAGCGTGTCACGGATAGAGGCCGCGCTGGGGGACCACCCTCTGCGCACCCCCTGTGGTGTCGAGAAAGTGCCACTCCTGCCACGATCTGCGAGCGTGTCACGGATAGAGGCCGCGCTGGGGGACCACCCTCTGCGCACCCCCTGTGGTGCCGAGAAAGTGCCACTCCTGCCACGATCTGCGAGCGTGTCACGGATAGAGGCCGCGCTGTGCTGCTACGCACGCATGGCAGGCGCGTGTCCCATGTGCGCGCCTGCCGTGCGTGCGTGCTGCGATGTGCGTGAGGTGAAAAAGAAGGAGAAGTAGAGGGAGGAGAAGGAGAAGGAGAAGGAGGAGACGCGGGTGAGACGCGGAAGGGAAGAAAACCAGAACCCCACGAAGCATGTGGGGAACAAGTACACCACACCACCCCGACGTCGTCCCCGACCGTAAAAAAAAACTCCTGGAATGGAAAAACAGCCCACCACTGGTAATGTATGTGTTCCTGTTTCCGACACAGGGAGCATGAGAAGTTTGGCCTCTTGGGGCACTCGTCGGGGTCCTCTCGGAGCCTTCTTGGGCCGTCTTGGGGGCCTCCTGGTCCGCTTGGAAGGCTTCTTGGGTCGTCTGAGGTCCCTGGAGGCCGTCTTCCGGGTGCCTCGGCGCCGTCTTGGGCCGCCGGGACGCCTGCCTGATCGCTCTGGGGTCCGACGTGCGGCCCCCCCAACGGCGCACCAGGCCCCGAAGCGCTCTTGAAAAATCGCGCCCCCCCCCGGGCCTAAAAACGGGACTGGGGGGGGGGAGCTTTGAAACAATGGGCCGCCCCCGGGCCCCCCCGTCATAGGATGTAGGCGCCAGCGCACGCCAGCGCACTCCAGAGAAGGAGCCTCGAGGACACACGAGGCTCCCAAAGCAGCTGCTGCCGAAAGGACGCCTCAGGCCAGCCGCTTCGCGGGAGCGCGGCATCGGCGGAGGACCACTCGGAGTCGGACTTCGGGGGAAAGCTGTGGGACTCCCAGTTCGGTTTCGCGACACTTGCGTTTCAGTGCTGTGCGGCATCGACGTGGAGCCCGCTACCGCAAAACTGAGCGAGGAGAAAGACGCGGGGAGACGGGGGCAGACGGGGAGGGGGGGCCGAAGGGGTACAGGGGAGGGGGGAGGGGCGGGGGAGCGGAGGAGGGGGATGGCGGGGGATGTTGGGGGAAGGGAAGGAATGGGAAGAAGGAGGGGGCAGGAAGGAGAGGGGGAGAAGTGGGAGGGAAAGGAAAGGGGGAGAGGGGGAGGAAAAGGAAATGGATGGATAAGCCAGCCCTGGAAGCGCCGAACCCATCTCCAGGACTTGCGAGTCGTCGTGGGACGGCCCTTGGCAGGGAGGATCGGGGGGGGCGGATGGGGAGGATGAGCAGGAAGGGGAGAGTGGAAGGAGGGGGGAGGAGAGGGGAGGAGGGGAGAGACGAACGGAAGATACAGGAATGGGTCGGGGAAGGGGATGGGAGCGTAAACGGCAGGGAAGGGAGGAATGCAGAAAAATGAAAGGCAAGAAGGGGCACGAGACGACAAAACGGGCTGAGGAGGCGCGCGGAAGCGCTGCGGCTGGCGGCAGCGGATTCCTCTTTGAAGGGGAACGTATTCATCTTGTCCTCCCGAGAGGGGGTTGGCGCCGCGGGGAACGGGCGCCCCCCCCGAGAGAAGGAAACAAGAGCAGCACGACAAAGGGAGTACGCAAAACCTTTGGAACAGAACTTGAGAAGATCGCCCCGAATACTACCGACGAACGACATCCGGCACCGTGCCCCCTGGCGCGTTCAGGCGTAGAAGAATTCAACGTGCTGTCTGTTGTGCTTTCTGTAATATTCCAAAGACCCTCCCCCCTACCAGCATGGCCCCCCGCCTTCTTGGGGCCCTCCACGGAACCCAAGATTCCCAACCTGGCTGCCCAGACGGCCCAGACATGCCACAAACGCCGTCACGATGACCCACGGTCCGTCAAAACAACCCAAAATGGCCTCACAGCCGGCCAAGGTGCCCCAAAGCCAGCCCAAAAGAGCTCCAAGAGAACCTCCAGCAACGCCCGTGAAAAAAAGGCAATCGTTGTTTTGTTGCTTGTTTGTTTTGACCCTACACACATTATATGGCTTCCAAGGCTTCATACGGCTCACCCACTGCCACGACGGCTCAGGACAGGCCCAAAAGACAGTTCGCGGGACCCTTTAATTCACCGCCGCTGGACGTAGCTGGAGGAAGAGGGAGGAGAAGGGGAAGTGAAGGGGTACCCTGTGGGAGAAGGAAAAGGAGGATAAAGAGTTGGACTGGATAGAGAAGGCTGCAGAGAGGAGGAGGAAACGGAGGAGGAGGAGGAACAGGAAATATGATCAGAGGGGGCCGAACGGTCATTCATTGTCCCTGGGTGCGTGGCTGAATAAGGAATTCTTGGTGAGAATGATGTTTGTTGCGTTGTTGGGCTTATTGCTGTTGTTGTTGGTGGTGGTATTGTTGCTGCTGCTGTTGTTGGTGGTGGTGGTGGTGGTGTTGATGCTGTTGATGATGTTGTTGTTGGTGTTGGTGTTGTTGTTGCTGTTGTTGCTGGTGTTGGTGGTGTTGTTGGTGTTGTTGGTGTTGCTGTTGTTGTTGCTGTTGTTGTTGCTACTGTTGTTGGTATTGTCGTTGTTGTTGGTATTGCTGCTGTTGGTGGTGGTGTTGTTGTTGGTGTTGGTGTTGCTGTTGGTGTTGGTGTTGTTGTTGTAGGTGTTGTTATTGCTGCTGCTGCTGCTGCTGCTGTTGTTGTTGGTGTTGTTGTTTGTTGTCGTCGTCCCACCCGCGATCCACCCGCATCCCACACCGCGACCCACCCCGCGACCCACCTCGCGACCCACCCCGAGACCCACCCCGCGACCCAGCCGCGACCCACCCCGCGACCCCACCGCGACCCATCCCGCGACCCCCCCGCGACCCATCCGCGACCCACCCGCGACCCACCCCGCGACCCACCCGCGACCCAACCCGCGACCCACCCTCAAGGGAGGAAAAACCACCCGGACCCGACAACCGACGTTTACTAAACGGCCCTGGGCGTTGACTAAACAGCCCTGCCCTGTTCGATTCATTCCTTGTGTGCGTTTACTAAACGGCTTCGCTTGCCGGGGTGAATCTTATGGGGAGGATTTTCTGCCCTCTACACCCTCGACCCACCCACGACCCAACGACGACCCATCCGCGCCCAATTTGCGACCCACCCGCGACCCACCCACGGCGAACTGCCGACGTCCCCACCGCCCCCTCACTGTTATCCGCATCTGCGGGGTCCTATTCATACCCTGGTTTGCAAGCGTAGCGAAGTTGCAAGGCGAACTCTAAAACAAGAAATGTTGGAATTCCTGTTTTTCTAAAGTGCCCTCGGGGCCGCTTCTCGGAGCTCTGTTGGGCCTCTTCAGGGCTTCTTAAGGACCTCTTGAAGCCTCTTGGGGGTCGCCTGGGGCGAAGATCTCGGGTTCTCGGTCCACGTTCCCGATCCTGGGCCGCAGTTGGGGCCCTCTCGGGCCGCCTTGGAAGTCTCTTCGGCGTTTTGGCAGACTAATGGGCCATCTTGGGGCGCTTTTGAAGCCTATTGGGCCATCTTGGGGCGATCCTCGGAGCCTCTTGGGGCGTTTTGCAGCGACGGGAAGCGGAACAGGCGGAAACGCCAAAATTGTTCAAAAACCGATGGAACATAAATAATTGTTGGCCTCTTCGAGCTCTGTTGGGAGACCGTTTGGAAGCCTCTTGGGTATCTTGGGGGCCTCTTGCGCCGTCTGGAGGCCGTCCTGGGCGTCTTGGAACATCTAGCGACCTGCGGCCCATCCCGCCACCGCGCCTGGGTTGTGGGTTAGGATTTGTTGGAAATTCGTTTGGAATTCGTGGGAGGCCTCCCGGGGGCCTCTTGAAGGCAGTTTTGGCAGCCTCTTGGGGGCCGTTTGGGGTGCTCTGGGGGCCTCTTTGGGGGCCTCTTTGGAGCCTCTAGGGGGCCTCCAGGGGGCCTCTTGGGCTCTCGTAGGGGCCTCTTGAAGACTCGAATTGTCAGTGCGTGTTCGCCCTCTTGGGCCCCTCTTGGGGCCGTCTCGGGGTCCTCTTGGGCGATCTTGGGTGCCTCTTGAACCGTCTTGGGGCACTCTTGGGCCGTCTTGGGACTCGCTTGCGCCGGCGTGGCGCCCTCTTTGGGTGCCTCTGGGGCCGTCTTGAGCTGATTTCTGGGGCCTCGTGGGCTGTCTTGGACAGTCGGAAGCGCGACAAGGCGAGAACACGACAAACCTTAAAAATCCAGCGAAAACAACATATGTTTCGCCTCCTGAGGGCCTCGTGGGAGTCCTTTTGAAGGCATCGTGGCCGTCTTGAGGCCCTCTTAGGGCTGTCTTCAAGCCATGTTGGACCAACTTTGAAAAGCTCTTGTGCGATCTTGGGCTCTCTTGGAGCGCTCTTGGGCCAACTTGGCGCCGTCTTGGACGTCTCTCGGGCCCTCTCGTCGCCCCCGTTCCCCTCCTCTGACGCGTTCTGGCGCCCCCCGCTGGGTCTAAGACGGCCAGAAGAAAAATCAGTGCATTCCAGGGCCCCCGGGACCCCCTCCCCATATGTATATATATATATATATATATATATATATATCGACATATATATATATATATATATATATGTGTGTGGGCGTGTATGTATGTGTTTATGTATGTGCATTTGTATGTGTATATCTACGCGTAAACAAATACAAGTATATGCATATGTATCTGCATGTGTATATGCATATGGATGTGTATGTGTATATGTATATGCATGTGTAAATGTATGTGTATATATATGTATATACGTATGTATACGTATTGTGGCGGACCTGGGCCGAAACGTGTTGCCGTCTCCTGGTGGGGCCCCCAGAGGGGGGGGGGGGGGGGGGGGGGGCGACATCTTATGCTCTACCTCGTCCGGCCGTCCGCCAGCCGTCCGCCGGCGGAGCCGCCCCCCCCCGCTGCCAGCGCAAGCACTGCGGCTGCAGCACTCTCGCGAGCAGCGAACAGAAAGAGCAATCCGCTCCTCGACTGGGCTGGGCGGGGGACCTGTCGACCTCCCACTCGCCATCGCTCGGACGTCCACTCCCCGTGCATTTGTCGACGTCGCGCGTGTACTCTTGCACAAGATGATCCAGGAGGTTCCTCGATGGTCCTCGCCCCCCCAAAATGCAGCACACGTCCGAGCGAAGCCAAGCCCAAGGAGACACCCACGGTTGGAGGCGGCCCGGGGCTCTGAACTGGCTGGGGCCAGAGAAAATCAAGGCCAGGAGGGCCAGGGAGGGGAGTGATGCGAGGCCGAATCCGTTCAAACTCGGTCCCCGGACACCTCCCAAGGTCCGTGAGGTGCAGCTTTCCACCCCGGATCCCTTCTTCACGGTCCCCATGGGCCCGAGAACGGCCCCCGGAGGCCGAAAGAGGCGAACAACCTTCCCGACCCTGATCACTGGATACTAGAATTTTCCAGTCGCGACCGACGATATCGGTCGCTACCGTTTTTGCTTCAAATTTGGGTATCGGTCGCGACCGACTTGCTTCAAGATCGGTCGTGACAGATCGGTCGCGACCGATCCGTCGCAATCGGTGGCGACCGGTCGCGACCGATTGACCGATTCGGGCATCGGTCGCGATCGCTCGAGACCGATTTGGAGTGCCGATCGGTCGCGACCGAACAAAAATGGTATAGTCAACCCGTATAATAAGGATGCGCGGTAAGGATGCAAGGGTCTCGGAGGGCCACGTTAGCGTTTTTCGAGCGAGGTTGGCCAACGAAAGTGGCCAAGTGTGGGCCGGAGGAGGAGGAGGAGGAGGAGGAGGAGGAGAAGGAGGAAGAGGAGGAGGAGGAGGAGGAGGAGGAGGAGGAGGAGGGGGGCAACGTGTTCCCAGAGGCCTCCTGAGGTGGAGCCCGAGCAGACGGGACTGGAGGACTACGCCGCAGCGCCGACGCGCCAGGGGGGGGGAGGGGGGGGGGGCAACGTGCTTTTAGAGGTCTGGGGGGCAACGCGCTTTTGGAGGCCTCCTGGACCGGTGCCCGAGTAGACGGGATCGGAGGACTTCGCCGCAGCGCCGACGCTAGGGGGTGGGGGGGCAACGTGCTTTTGGAGGCCTGGGGGGCAACGTGCTTTAGAGGCCTCCTAGATGGGGCCCGAGTAGACGGGGTCGGACGATTTCGCCGCATCGCCGACGCCAGGGGAGGGGAGGGGGGGGGCAACGTGCTTTTGGAGGCCTGGGGGGCAACGTGCTTTTAGAGGCCTCCTTGATGGGGCCCGAGTAGACGGGGTCGGAGGATTACGCCGCATCGCCGACGCTAGGGAGGGGGGGCGGGGGGGGGGAGGGGGGGGGCAACGTGCTTTTGGAGGCCTCGTAGGTGGGACCCGAGTAGACGGGGTCAAAAGATTACGCCGCATCGCCGATACATCGCCGATGCATCGGCGTCGACAATGCATCGGCGCTGTTGGTATGGAGAAAATTGGGTTTCACATTGAACAGCGTCGCCGACACATCCGCGATGCGGCGCGATCCTCCGACCCCATCTACACGGACCCCATATGGGATCCCTAGAACGTTTCTTTTGCCAGCGAACGGGCCCTGTGGGTGACGGTTATTGGACCCAAGGGCCGTCCTCCAGGTTCAGCGCTCCAACCTGAGTCCCGCTCTACGTCCCAGGGCGAGTGGACGGCCCCAGGAGCACGAGAAGGCCAAGCCCAAGCGCGCAAGTTGCAACTGCCGCCTCGCGTTCGACGATCGGGGAACCCCATTGGGCCCGCACCAAAAGTCACTCCGACGAAGGGTCACTCTTACGTGTAATCGGGGATCTGCCGACTTGGATCAGTCCAAACCCGTGTCCATCGGGCCTTGCAGGATCCGGCAAAACCCTGCAGGATCCTGCACCCAAACCTGGGTCAGTGCGCCCCTGGCCCCGCAGGATCCTGCAAGATCCAGCGCCCCCGTTCCCAGACCTCCGACGCCGTGATTGTGTTCGCAACGTCGACCCCCAGAGGTCTGGACCCTTTCCCCAGGACCAGGTTAGGGGCGCCCAAAGCCTGGTTAGGGGCGCCGTGCGGCCCCGGTTAAGGGCGCCCGCGGCCTGGTTAGAGGCTGTCGGTCCCGCGGCCTGGTTAGGGGCGCCCGAGGCCGAAGATAGCGAAAAACCTCCCGTCGTGACTTCGTCACACCGCGAGGGGATCTGGGTTTGCGTTGGCCCCCGCCCCTTGAGCCCCCATGTGGTCTTTGGACGCCCGCAATGGGTACGGGAAAAATGGGCACGATGCCCAACAACAAATGTCGTCCCAGACCCACAGCGGTCGCTGTCGGGCAGGCGGTGTTCTGTCTCGAGTGGACACAGGCCGCGGCGGCGCGGACAGCGAGTCCTGTTCAAAACGATCAGGAACTGCTGTTGGGCATCGTACACGTCGTTCATTGCTAATCGTGTTCATTTCTGATTGCGCTCGTTTCTAATTGTTCCTGGCCCCCCAGTGGCCAGGAAGAGGCCCAGAACGGAAGAGTCAGCCCCCCCAAGGAAAGATCGAAGAGCTCTCGAAGAATCCGAGACGAACCACGTGCACCCCTTCCTTCCGCACCCACTCCGCCCGTGCCCATCCTGGCCGAGTCTTCCCTCCGCGACGGCCCTCCGCCGGCGCTCGGGCGGCGGAACAAGGCCGCCCCCGCCCCCGCCCCGCCCACCTGTCCGCGGGCCTGCGCGGCCCACGGAGCTCCCCGCCGCCCCCCCCCCGCCACGGGAGGCGCGGGGGGGGGGGGCGGCGGGGCGCCCCCGCGGCGCCTCGAGGGCCCAGGCCTCCTCGAGCCGCGAGGGGAGAGAACCCGCGACGGGAGGCATTCTCGGCGTGTTCGGCCTTTGGGGGGCCCTCGCCGGGCCGCGGGGCCGTCGAAGACAACGACGCAGGACAAAAAGGCGGTCCCGGGGAG